TGTATGCAATCAAAATATTCGTGTATAAAGTCGATGTTCAGGAAATGATTGCGACTACTTTAATGTTTAAATTTTGAATTTCAAATGCTACAACCATTGTACGTAGTATAAGCAATCGAAGAATTCTTAGTATAGTTTAAGAAATATTAAACTCATATTGAACGTTGCAAAATGAGCAATGCGGTAATAACTAATATTGTCGTTAATTGATGTTAATAATAAAGCAAAAGTAACACTCAATCTTTGTCTTGTACTTTTGAATAACGCAACGATGCGAGATTGACTTTTTTGGTAATAATTATCATTCTAAAGTTAACATATATTAATAATGCGAACGTAGATATAAAACTTGGTTCGTATTATACATCAAAAATTAAATTGCGAAGTTTGAGTGACAGAGGTTCAACATAAAAAATAAATTTCAAAAGGAATGTCCGGTTTTAGACCAGCTACCGCGAAAAAAATTAAAAAAAGCAATATTTTTCATGCAGTTTTTAACCTTTTATGCATCATCGGTGTGTAAAAACTAAAAAGGAACACGGAAATATGCTAATAATCACAATTACACAATGGTTCTTCATTCAATAAAGTTATTATCCTGCGGGGTTACGTTACACAAACATATTCTAGCTGACATACCTTTAAGGACATTGTATGAAATATGCTGAAGGTCAAAATATAAGTAGCTGAGCTTTAATTTTTCTTTAATTATAATTACTGTGTAATCTTAATTGCTACATTTTGGAATCATAACTTATTCAGGAAATGTATTGATTTCTTTAGTTCAGTTTTTGTTTTCTCTTTATCGGATATAATTGTACTGTCTGGTACACTTATGAGTATTTTGTTTTAAGAAAAATTTAATCCAAAATTTATGCATTAACTTTAAAACTTAGTTTTTTTTTAATTTATTAAGAAATGTTTTCTCTGTAACAATTTCAACAGATTCTATTTAGTCGTTCTTAAAGGATAATAACCCTCTATGCGTCATTGTCCCCTTTCCATCCGGTCTATTCGCGATTGTTAGAAAGGGGTCGGCAGAATTAATTAATTCCTTCCTTTTAAATACAATTGCAAATGGTTGATATATAAGGAATTATTATTGACTTGTTTTAAAGGAGTTATTAGACCTCTTTAGAATAACGTTTATTTAAGTAATATAAATGTTGTTTATTTACCTATCTATACAAGTGCATCTATATAAGTTGGAAATAATAATGTTTCGCTAACATAATGTGTTTGCGTTGCTTATAATGAAAATCCAATTTTTGATGTTTGTATGTCCTACAAGTCCGCGTTTGTTCCGGGTAATGTACCGAAAAGCTGGACTAATTTTGACAGCACTTTGACGGTAATGTAGCTGATGTAAGCAGGCTTTATATTATAGGCTTTTTTCTACGGCGACTAAGTCGCGTGCAACCGCTAGCGTATAATAAACTATGCATCGTAGTCAAATAAACGTGGGTAAAAATGTCAATACTGGAAGTTACATATTACAAGTTTAATGCAGAGTCAATTAAATTCTAAAGAAACAGTACGCTTTAAATTAAATTAAATATATATTTTAAATATTTTGATGATATGCATGCGTAATAGTAAGCCACGAGAAAACTGAAGAGTCACATTCAGCGATTAAATAGGAAGTAAAAATAAAAGAAACATTGCAAAATTGCGATACAAAACAACATAACAATTGGAATGTAACAATCATAATGTAGGTTACAAAATATTTTTATTATGTTTTGACTTACGCATATCAAAAATCGGCAGCCTCATATTTCTAGCACGGGATTGTAGTTCACATTAATTATTCAGTCAAGTCAGTGTTACACTTTGCGGGGTAAAATTACAGGTTAACTTGGTATCAAAGCATAGAGTGCGCGATGTTTATAAAAATGGTCGAAGTTGTGATGTACCGGGCTAGGGCTGTGCGCATGCGCGGCCTGCGACCGCCGACTGCGGCCGGCCTCCACACTGCGTCGCTTTCAATAACTAACAATATCGTACTCTAGGGTTGACAACCCGACATTATGGGATAATTTTACGTAAGATCTGTGACATTTCAGTCTTAAATAATTTAATAGGGCTTCATTGTTGAAAAAATAACAGTAACATATTTAGGAATGGATACACGTATTACTCTGAAGTAATTGTTACCTTTATCATCCCGTCTGCTTAACTGTAATAGAGTAAAATTACTTTAAGTCGAGTCAGAGTCAGTTTCAGACATTGAACACAGTTATCTTAGTAGCTTGAAAGCATTTTGTTGTTGGTGATACAGGATTTTATTCTTCTATCCACAAATTATATACAGCCTCAAACTGTAGAAATAATTTAATTAAAAATAATTTAAAGTTTCGAGTTCGAAAAAATAAGTGATGTCAACCCTAGAGACTATTTAGTCATCTTTACAATCGTTAATTCACGTACTAGCAACAGTCGTCGGTTCCGCTCGAAATCTTCACAATCAGAACCAATTTGGGAGCAATATTATTTTTAACAGCCAAAGTGACAATTAATAGACAAATCGTAGCATTTAATTTAGACGAATGGGTTTCTAATTTAAATCAATTGACGTCGCGAATCCGAAAACAATGTTATAAACGACAAATAGTCTTCAATAACATTTCTATTAATAATAAATCATAGCTAAAATAGATAATTTTTGCAATATTATGAAACATATAAAAATTACTCCGCACCAGTGGAAATAATGTCGCGCGCGGCCAAAATTTGTGAGTCTAAACGCGCCCGTGGAAAGAGGTCTAAAGGTAAGATTATACTAAGATATAAATTCCAACATAAATATCGGGCTTTCTAAGTTTTTAGTACAGTTAATAGAAACACTAAAATTAACTATGTATCAACAATAATCTGTGATAAAAACATTTACGGTTTTACTTTATTTAGATATAGAATTGCAAAATAAATTTAAATAACAATTTATCAAATGTTTTAGTTTATTTTATTTTTAATTAAATTTTTACACATACATACATTATCCTGTTTTTGGGATTTTTTCAATGACACTAGTACATTTTTACGTCAACCACAATTTTCAAATCTCAAAAACGGTCTTAATTATAATTGTCAAATTTGTATCAAAGCTACATCTTTAGTTATAAATCTATGGTAAGATACTTTTACACCTTACACCCAACACGTGCATCTCGAATAGTGCTGAATATGCATCCAACAATGAAGTTATGCTTTGACTGTAATATGATAATGTCGCCGGGCGAACCAAATTATCAAGGAATATAAAGACAAAAAACAAATTATATTGGCACACTTAATCTTATTCTACGCAGATTGCGCTGATGACTACAAAACTCATAAAAATGTTAATAAAAAAAACCGACTAAAAAAAAATTGTGAACCTCTTTTTTAGTCGGTTAATAAAGTAATTGTTACTATGGCATGTATGTGGTATCCATTTTTTTCCTTATATATTAAAATAACCACTTTTACATCAATTAGTTAATGATTTGTACAAATTATTCGTTTAGTCATTAACAATTATTAAATTTCCTCAAAAATTATATTTATCTGAAGGAAATCCCTTACACGTGCAAAAACAATAACAATAAAGGAATGTTCGACTCGTAGTTAGGGTAAAATGCAAATGACAAGGAAATTAATTCCCAAATGGGAATTTCTATTAACAAATTTTTAACAATTTATAAAAAAATATTGAGGTGAGCCAAATTTCGGATTTTCCAGAAACGGCTTTTTCTAATTATATACTGAAAAATCACTTAAGGAAAAATATTGTCAAAACTAAATTTACTATTTTGTATACCAAACAAACGTAGACGTGGGTAGAACAAAAAGAAAAAAAAAGAAATAGCAGTTTAGTGAGCATAGTTAGTAATATATAATCTACACGGTTCTTGTTAACTAAACTGTTCCTTACAATCCCAACTTTGATATCAAACTTCTCATTGTAAAGAAATTGTAAGGGGTGGGTACCTATTCTAAATTTGTCGACTTGGCACATCGTGCGCAAAAATACTGTTATTCCCGACGTGCCAACTTATGCACAGGATCCTAAAAGTATTATAACAAGATCCAGCAGTTCCTTATCAATGCCTTTCTTAAATCACGATCTTCACCAACAATGAGACTATTTATCCAAATAACTACTTAGTCATCTGACTTATGTAACAGTTGGTGTATTCATTATGATAAATTATATTTAGGTATGCTATTAAACTTATACTCCATACGCCAAGATAAATATAAAGATAGAACAGATTTGTGTTTGTTCAAAATAAAATCAAAAACGATTGAATCGATTCAAAAATCCATGGTTTTTTCTTTAAACGAAAATTATGTTTATAAAATGAAACTTTACAGTGATAAACTTATTTGGTTATCTATTTTATAGCAGTGTTTAAATTTTTTAACATTAGGTTCGACATAAAAACTCTAAAGAACCGTATGGCTTCAGCGAAGCCTTTCTGATATTTTTATAGACTCCCTCTTTATAGCTTTATATATATATATATATATATATATTGATATCAATATTGAATAATTATTATATAATACGCAACGAAGATATTACTTATTTGATTATATTAACTAAAATTAAATAATTGTACATACCTCGTATTAAGTTAATGTTTATACGACAAAGAATATTATTCACTATATACATTATTTATAATTATGAACTAAGAATAGAATATTTTTCAATTAATTATTATACTTCATAACAATTTTCACTTCAAAAAATTATTTTAACATGACATATGTGTAAACAAATGTTTTGAACGTACCTGCGTCAGCTGTGTCCATAGAAACTAGAATATGTTTGCACATTTTTGATGTTATCAAAATATAATTTTATTTAAAAAATTTAAAAGTTAATTATTAGGTGCCAGTTCTAATCTTTTGTATTTTATTTATTTATAATCTGTTTTGTTCGCGGAAGCTGTCTCGTGGCGCGTTCCCGCCGCACACTGCGCTTGCCACTCGCCTGTGCACTGTGGCAGCCCTGTCAATCTTACAGTCTTTTATTACGTGTACAAATATCGCTCTCTATCAAAATAAATGATTTAAATAAATGTTACTGCCTAATTTTTTGCACATTTTATTACTAACAACATCGTTTGGAAGTTATATAAATACAATTTATATGGATTTATTTTTAATTGCAGGTTAAGCAAAAGCGTGTGAAAACGGATTATGATGTTACTAATACAAAAATCCATTGATTTTTTATTTATTTTATAAGACTTAAGCACATATCAGGGTAACGTCATAATTTAGTAATTTAAATTTTTTTGCTTAATTAGGAATAATTGACAGAGTATAAAATACAAAGTAATGTCTTATTATCTTATGTCTTGAACTTAAAAATGAACTATTGAGTGATGATCCATCTATTGGCCTTGATGGAATAGTAATAAAAATGTGTTACGTAATAGAGGCGAGCAGGTGTGTTTAATTGCCACCCTGTGCCCCCGGATCACGCCACGTGGCCCCATAAGCTGTTTTTTTGTAGGCCACGTGGTGGGATCCGGGGGTGAGAAAGTGCCTTTTTATCAATCAGATTTATTTGTGGAATAAGTACTCAAAATAATGAATATTTTCGCCTGTCACAAGGCTACAGTCAGCTGCAAAAATATATACGCATTTCCAAAGCTTCACAAACTTGTATACTGAGATTGAAATAATCCAGAGTTCAAGAGTCAGCACGTTTTGAAGACCACACTGCGACAAAACTAAAATAAAAGAAACAGCGAATAACTGCTGATAGGTAAAGGCTCAGGTATCTGGCTTAGTGACTTCATGTCAATGCTATTCTGCTATGCAATGGGAATTTACAAGACTTGTGCTACACGATAAATGCATAACTCTATTTAGTAGTCTGAACATCGGATGAGTCGCTGCGCTGGACACAATTTTAGGTACGCCAGGCATAGTTTTAGAGGAACTACTTAGTAATTCATTTAAGGGAATCTGGACGCGGGAAAGACGTACTGCGCAGTGCCTTACTAAATTTGAGCGGTCAAACGGATTGACACGCATCTACTTCACAATACAATAATGCCGCCATTCCTACTCAAATTGCTTGTATGCTGCGAAATTTTACTACAAAACCATCTTGTAAGTATGTAGTGAAAAAATAACAGAAATTAGACATTGGATCCGATTAATGTTAGTCTATTAAGTTACATCCAAAATAATTTGATACGACTATGTATCAGATTTTAATTAAAAAAACAATGAATCACTGGTATGCAAACTTGTCTATATTTGAAATTGACAAATGAACATTTATTTATTTATATATTTAAAAACTGCATAGCATCATTACAGTATACAACCAATTTGACACTATACACACTTTACATAACAGTTTACACGATAACATATTTTATAATAACAGTAAATAACATATAACAATGATAAATAAAAAGAAAAAAAATACATATAATACAGTGCAAGAATATATAAACGCGTAACTAAACATCAATATTCAAACGTCTTCCACACATCTGTACGCAGCCTCTGTGAACATGTATCTGTCAGTGTGAAAGTAAGTTATATACTTTAAGACATAAGGTTGTTATTAAAAATATGACCATATTGACCAATGTTTTTTAGTACAATATCCTAGGCTGATGATGTTTTTTCTTATTTTTTTTATATTATTTTTAATTTACAAATCTAATCAATTATATTATTGTTTTGACTGTAAATGTAGTTTTTACGTATAATTTTTCAGTGATTATTTCTTGTTTTTCAGCAATTACTTACTTTAATGTTTTTGATTTGTACGTTCAAGGTTTCGCACGGATGTAATGTTACGGTCTAGTCGTTTATCATAAAATTGTTTTCGTATTATTTTAATGATATAAAATAAATAATGTGCACATTAATTATGAATAAATATATTTAAAATTATAATTTTATCTCTTATTACATTATGAATAAATAAATTA